ATTGACCCGAACCTCGGTTCTATTCTGCCATATGATACCTGGTTTTTGGGCCAGATTGACCATACTTCGAGGTCTGTTATACGCATTGTCGGTTTACGTGCAGCTCGGTACATGTAGATTAGCGTTCTATTTTCCTGTGGTTCGTATTCTGCGCCTTGCTCTATCACCGGACATCAGTCCAGTACATTTAGAATCATAGCTATGAGGAAGAATATCGACAATACCCGTACATGACATACAAAACCGAACTTCAGTGCAGGGAAATCGGAAGAATAGGAGATGTGACAATAGGGTTGAACACCGAAGTACATATTCCTTATAACTTAGACGACTGGACCACAGGTGTTGATTAAACTTCCGGCGGATTATCCGCATGTGTAGAAGAAAACGCTTCCTTTTTTTGACCCGGGCTCTTTATAGGTATATTGAAATGGTTGGTGATTATTTCTGAAGTTTCAGTTAACTGGTGGCAGCGAGCGCTCGGATACACGTTCTTCGGTGTCAATGCCAATGATCTGTAGAACTTGGCTATCATCACTCGAGGTCTGAGACGAGTAAAGAAACCAAAAGCATCAGTGGGTGTCTAGGGTTACGGTTGGTCACCCTTCCCTTGCACCGCACGAAATGCTCCCAAACAACCAAGCGTCTCAAACAGCCTCTACTGAGGAAACCCTACTCACTGCCTTCTCGTGACGGAGGTGTTCCCCACCAAAGTGATAGGACGAAAAGCCGACATCTGGGGCTATAACCGGGTTGGTGGACTACTGGTAGTTCACCTAGGGGAGTTGGCCAAAACCCCTGATTTCAAACCAACCATGAGGAGGCGTACGAACCACAAACAACTTCTGGTTGTAGTAGTGGTCACCGGATCAATTGGGCATCGAGGTGTATTGGGAACCTTGGACGTTTGACCCGGTCCAAGGAGCGAGTGATCTACTGAACTGGATACCGGCCCTCAATGGATTGCGATTTTCACACATCGCCCCGCTGCCTTGTGGGTCACACTTTGGCTAGCCGAAGGCTCCGGTTGTGCATTCTTCAAGAAAATTCACCTACCTTGGTCTGGGCAACCTGGCCCACATGCAAATCATGGAACGTTTTTCTTCTTCGTAAAGATTATTGTACCATGATTTATTTGGCACACAGTCTGAATTCAGACGTGTGAAAATAAATGAAAATAATAAAGGAACCAGGCATATTGAAAAAAAGAGATTCAAAAAACTGAACGGCGAACCGCTTGAAGCAGACCGAATACGTACAAGTAGGGTTTCGTGAGGTTCAAGACGTCCGGCAGGAAGAAATAGCTTCCCATAACATGAACGCTTCGATTCCTGAATGAGGAGAACTTGGTTTCCCCGAAAAACAACCCCGACAACGATAAGGCAGAAATTGCTCTTGATTCTAGGGGAAAAGTCTGCATTGTGAAGGAGAAAAAAGGAAATTAACGGATAGGATCGCACTAAAAAGCAATCATGATAGAACGTCCGAATCAAAGTGAACGGTTTAAATAACATTCCAACGGATGTATCTCACTGGCTCATCTTAGAATATTACATTGTGTAACTATTGCAAACAGCAAATCAGACACAATTTGGAAGGATTGCACAGACCAACCAGCACCTTGAACATATTATACGAATTGTGATCCATGTATAATATCTTTCTCCTCGGGAATACCAGAACAAAATGGGGTATAGGTGAATTTCGGTCAACTTTTCCATTACATTGTATGTGTCTGAATGGATGGATGGAAACTATCGCATTCCAGTTTAGTGTGCAACGGGTTAGCAAAATCCGTTTCGCGAAAATAACACAAAAAGAATTTGTGCGATGATCTCGATTAAATTAATCACGGAAATTGAAGAAACTCGATAAATTGATGTCAGATCACAGCTTTGCAATCTTGCTTAAGTGAATCAGGGACAATAACTAGGGAGCAATGAAGTAAAAAAGGGAGACCACACTGGTACTATCACAATGCCTACACTTTCAGACTGGGAGTGAGGTGTGTCGCTGTTCAACAAGCCCCATTATGGATTCGGAGTTCACCGACGACGATCTTTGTGCATAGTGACTCCGAGCAATTTGACACGGTTTACTCCATGTAAAGAATTGCGATGTATTTCTCTGGGGTCTATAGGAGAAGTAAAGTGTGACAAAAACTATCATCATCCAACACATTTGCTTGAATTTAATCTGGAACTCAGTTGAGGAGTGGGTGAAAAGCTGAATTCGGGAAAGAATGCCAATGAAGGAACTTAGATCGGAGCAGTGGTTCGGCACAACACGACAACAGCATACTTCAAACCACGTGTGAGACTAAAAAGCAATACCGGACAGCATAGCTTCTGGAAGCATCTCAGTGTTGTTGAAAAAGGATTTGGAAGAAACTGACCCAAGTCTGTTAGTTTGTGGTTTTTCAGTTAATGCTCTGATAATCAAGTAAATAAGTGCTTGGAGCACTCGAAAGGTTCAAACTGGGTAAAGGTATTGACTTACTCAATTTACTGCCACTGGCCTCTTGGAAACGATTAGCCCGCTCCAGACATGATCATGATCATGAAGTTCCTTGGGAGTTTGGTACCACTAGCCTTTGCAGAACCAAGTGCGAACTGCAAGGCAGCAGGAAGTAAACCCTCGGCTCTGAAGTGAGGGGGTCAATGACTTTAGTTTTAAAAGGCCAGTCACATCGACTTTTGTCAGGACACCGTCATTAGACTTATGCGGCTTTTAAACAGGAGCCAGGTGACCAACTGGAAACCCATCACACCCTGGTAGTGCCGCCGCTGTTTGTTCGCGACTGCTTAGTCGTTGCAGTGTGTCACATCTTATTCATAGCTAACCTTCTTCGGTGAAGGCATGCTCCCTATCCACAACCCGGGGACTCGCCTGGTAGCAGTCAGTTCTGCTTAACCCGAAGGTATCCAGGATTGAGGAACGGAGTCCGTCACCGGATAATAGTCCATAAACCCCAAGAGGGTTTGATACGTAATGAATACGGCTGTAGACTGCATTCAAACTTGCTACGTTTGGTTTGTAAGCAAACTGTAATTGACATCTGGGAGGGCTCTTAACCTGTTATAGGTAGTTGAGAACAGCCTCTTCAGTAAACATTAGTACCGCGGATGTCAATGCTATAGGATGAAAAATTTTGGAGGACAACAGATTTTCGTGATTTGGGAGTCGGTGTGACTTTGACCGGCCTCTAGCGTTCTAGATCACTAACAGTGGAGCTGAATGCTCCAACTACAGGCGTGGCTTCAAATTTGAAAAATGCCCAAGGTAAGCCATCCGAGCCATAGAAACGGAAGATATACGATTAGTTTATATACACGCAAATTCAAAAACGGCTCTACATAGAAAGTTGTGCGAAGAGTAACGAGAAGTAACAATCAAAGAAACGGGGTACTGAGTGTCCATATCAAAATCCTGCTCCAATTTTTGTTTTTCTTCCCACAGACAGGTCTGCTACAGGCACTTGTTGTTGCCAGTTATCAGTATTCGATCGACGAAAATGCATTTAGTCGCTTTATTTTACCCATGTAATTCCTAAATACAACGACCTTTAAGACTATGTAAGAACAAGCGATAACTGTCTCAATTTTGATGAGAACTCAAGAGTTATTTTATTACACACCTCAGTGTGATAAATAGTAGACAGGATAACCCCCATAGTCACGAGGATCTGCCATTTAGTTATGGAAACCGGTAACCTAAGCCCCGGGACTTGGAGTGACGAACCACATAAGGCCCCGCTAAGTTGAGCGCGTGTGCTTCGGTTCCCCTCCATTCCCTTGTCCGATCCACTGTTGAGCTAGCGTTCGTAAATTCGGACTACCCCTCTGCTATCTCAAGTAACTAGTATACAGCAACACGTTGTAAAGCATCTCAAATCGACTTCTACTCCAAATGATAACACTGCGTCATGTGGGATAAAAATGGTGGCGAGGAAAGTTGAATAAAAAATTGCATATTACCTTGATCTGGGAAAGCTGCATCGTACACCGCCATACATTTAAAACAGAAAAACAGGTACTGAAGACGTTGGCTTCATTGAACGATAATCTTGTAATACATGTTCAATGGATTCCGAGATACCATGAATTATTTAAGAGGATGGTTGCAAATGAAGCTGATGAATTGACTATTTTTCAGACTGAAACAAAAAGGAATAAAACTGCAGTGCATTTGGAAAACGTAGGGGCAGTTTGAAGTGATATGCTATAAAAACGTGTATTATACACCGACTTGTGAACAAGCATGGTGCCAACGCCACAATGATAATAACATAACAATAATAGAAGATAGGTGGATTGGAGTACAGAGTGAAGTGGAAAGAGGGTGAAACAGTTGAAATCGGGAAAGTAGAAGATAACTGGGATAACACATTTTTTTGTGTTTCACCGTGCACTTTTTGATATTTTTTTACGGGGCACCGGATTTCAGCAGATCGACCGTACAGCATTCGCGCCACTGACTTCTATTCTGCGTCATATCTCTCAGCGTCTCTAACCATAGACAATCCTCATCCCTTGGGCCCCAAGTACAGCATTCGCGCCACTGACTTCTATTCTGGGCCATATCTCTCAGCGTCTCTAACCAATGACAATATTCATCTCTTGGGCTCCAACCTGGAAGGCGGGTTGTACTAATCGAAACCAAAGCTGAAGCCAGCTTCTTCTTGCCTCTAGCTCATGTCATGGTCTGAACGCCGCGCTGCTTTTTCCAGTATTGCCCGGCACGCGCAAAAAGAGCACGAAAAATTAGACGATGAATAGGCATACGCAATACGCGACCAAGCCATCGGAGGCAGTGTATAGCGATTACTTCCGTTAGAGAACGACTATCCACATCCAACACACGACGACGAACCTAGTCTTTACTCACCCGGTTTTCCCACTAGACACGAGCAATGCTTCGGAGACATCGGTGGTCAAATAGAGAAAGTTGATTAGCATCGTCAATGCGGAGGGGCCAGGTCTCGTAACCGTAAAGAACGATACGAACCACGGCGATGTACACCCTTCCCTTAATGGACAGTCGGATGTCATGGCGGTGTCACATGTGTCGCAGGTTGGCGAGAGAGACTTCTATCTCGGTTTAATTCGATTCGAAATGTGATTTACCGTCCCCAACCCCTCAGGTAACTGAGTTGGCATACATGGGGATCCTTGTATCATTGAGACCACTAATAACATTTGTTTCCTCTCAAAAGAATGATTATTCGGCTTTTCTATAAGCCCAGCGAACTGCTTTCTGGTGCACACATTCCAAGTTTTCGTAATGGCCGAATCCGGTAAGTAATGAAACGTTTGATAACCATTCACTTAAAAGATAACTTGGAGTAAGTCTTCGAACTGGAAAGGGATTTGTTACAGTTATTTGGGTGTGAAGATGCGGATGCCACTGACAGGATGACATTTTTCGCTGAAAATTATTCTACAAGGCGAAGGTGAGTCAGTTGCTTCACAATGTTAATCGTTCATCAGGCGACCTGTGGCACGAAGCAGCGATGAAGAAACAGAACTACCCTGTAGCCCCAATCAAAAACCAAGGAGGCCAAGTCCAGTGCTTTATCCACCGACACTGTCTCTCACGACGTGAGCAGTGTAACAAACATTTATTAAATTTCATTTAACAGGTCACCCAGGCAAACTACAAGCCAGTCCTCACACAGACGTTCCGTGCAAGCAGCATCCTCACCCATATCGGTGGATATCCCAGGGGTGAGTGGTTTTTACTCTCCGAACACTGCGTAAGTTTTGCATTGTGATTATTAACTTTAATTTCACTTTAGCAGCTCATCCCTCGGTGCTAACGCGCTCTCCAACATAGAGGAAAGAATTAAGCTGAACAAATTGACGGGTGTTCGTGTGTTCTGTATAATTCATTTATTCTTAGATAATTTGCGTGATATGCGGACTGAGATGACGCAGTTAGGCGCCAGCTTGGATCTGCTACATAAGAAAATGGACCAGCTTTCGATTACACAAACGCCCAAAGTCCTGAAATGTGATCCTGTTATCAGAAGTCAATACAAAACGGTTCAAGAACTAAACGATCTTGAAACGAAACTGAAAGAAAAATCGAATCATGACAATTTGGTAAGTATTGTAGTTCTATTATATTTTGTTTATCTAGGTCCAACAATTTCAAAACCTCGGTGGCAGAGACCTTACGCACACCATAAAACGGACAATGACTCTCGTCTATCACGAGACTCTAGCTGTTGACGGCAATTACACGGCGAAAAACGCCAATCAAAGAGCGCTTATACGGATATCAATATTTCATAGCGACGCATTTGCAAGTAACTTCTTGCTTTGATATGGTTTCCTCCGCCGTTCACATCGAAAGATGTGAAGATCGGTTGATGTGACATAACTTTCAACGAACGGCTGCAGCGTGTGAAATCGTTGAATGCGTAGGTGCTGAGGACCAGATCCGATGAGGATTGCGGGTTTCGCATCTACCAGCACTGCATTATCAGAAAATGCAGTGTATATTCCAACGG